CGCACATCCACGCTTACAGAACTTGGTATTCCCGAGCGGTCACCCATCTAGGATACTGACAAAGCTCGACGTTGCTCAACTTCGGTGATCGTACGAGAAGCGTTATTTCAACATGATATAAGCTATTTTCATGTGTTCTTCCTTGTGTTTGATGTCGAGATGAAACTTTCAAAAGAAAGAACATGCCAAAATTGTGTGTAATGTACTTTTGAGCATTTTCATGAACTGTGCGTGTGTGTGTGTGTGTGTGCGCGCGCGCGCAAAGACATTGTTCAGTCCAACTCCACTTCCCAAAATCTAATCAAAAATAAGAATTTTTTGGGGGCCGTGCCGAGAATTTTTTTAACATTCCCTCGTGTGCGCGCATACACACACACACCTTAATATTCTCCGTAGCACATTAAGTGACGATTGTCCAATAAAACAGTATGATAATGTGAAATGAATATTAATCTCCGTTTCTTAAATAAAGAAAATAATTTAAATTATGAAAAAGCACACACACACAGCCATTTAATAAGGAGAGTTGCCGTTTAAACATTTCATATAGTAAGATTCGTTTGTCTCAGTAGAGAAAGGAGGTGTGTTTGGTCATGTGACTAAATAACGTCAGTTATCACTTCGATGCGATTTGAAAAAGCTGACACGGGAGAAGGTGTTCGATACTCTTTATACAAAAATAAGAACACGTTCGATCCGGTTTGAAAATTAACATTCTGAGCAATTAAATATATAGCCATTTCGACAGAATTAGCGGAAACACACACGGGCCATTTTAGAATCAATACAAAAAAAAATGTGCAATAAGTTGGGGAAAAATCACCTATATATGATAAAAAAGACATACTTATACGCACGTACATATTATATTTCAGGCGCTCAATGTTAACTTATATAAAAGAGCTATTATAGATTAATGAATATGCAACATCGATAGCCCGAGTCGGAGGTTCATATGAAGATTGTGTGTTTGAAGGAAACTCCGAGTCTTGCTATTGACGTGGGATATTCACTAATATATTTATATAAAACATTAAAGAATTACATTAATTTGAAAAAAAAAAAAAAAAAAAAAAAAAAAAAATGGGCACATTCTTAAACAAGATTTTAAGAGGTAAACAATGATGTGATCCTAATTTTTTTTAAAGTGTAGAAAAAGGAAAGAAACAATATCCAACAACTTTAATTTCAAATTTGCTTTGTTATCGAACCGAGCACTTGATCCAAACAAAAAAAGAAACAAACAAAGCGAAACAAAAAAAACAAAAAACAAAAAACAAAAATAGACCCCCCCCCAAGAATTTGAACTACCCTTATTCCTGTTTATTAAACTTGTCACAGTAGAAATATATTCACGGCTGTGGGTGGAGGGAATAATTTTTTTTTTTTTTTTGGCTTAGGTAGCAGTGAGTGAACTGAAGCTGTAGCATTTGTCTTCAAATCATTACCATTTCCTGCTTTTTTTTTCCTTCCGAAAAACATGAGCTTCAAGAACTTTTATAAGTCGGCTTTATTCCAGGAATAAACACAAAAAGGCGGAAAAAACAAATAAAAATAAAGATGGTTAAAATAATATATAAAAATAAAGTCTTTATGTGAAGAGCGGATACAAAAAAAAAGTAGAATCAGGAATCTTTAAAATTGATTTAGCGTTACCCTCCTAATCCCATTTTATTGTGCCACCCTGCTTGAAATAATACGGCACCCACTTAGGATCGAACTCTACCATCGTAACGCTGCTGGAGATTCCACAGTGAGAAGCCAATGCTGATATTACTTAGCTTAGCTTAGCTTTGACTGGCATAAGGGTAAAAAGTGTGGCGCACCTTGTGAAGATCGAACTCATTACACTTGTAATAGTCTGTGGAGCTAACCTGCTATCCACTGCGCTAAGGTAGGCACCCAGAATTACATAGTGCATATTTATTTTAAGTCTGGCTATAAAAACAGACAGAGCAACAAGTAAGGACTGTAAGTGCTGCAGCTGCAGTGGTCGACAAGTCTACCTTAATCCCTATTCCACACCCCTCCCTTTACGCAAAAAAAATATTTACGAACACGGTGAGGATCGAACTCCTATCATAAGTGAATAGCCTGTAAGGTTAGCTTACTTAGCATTCCTTTACGGAAGGTGCCCTTGTAACTGAGATTGGTGTAACATTTACATCCCACTCCCCGTTGGAGATCGGCGTTCGAGCTCGGATCAAATCAAGAATTTCGAATGCTGATTTTCAAGGTTGTCAGCCCGTCCTCACTTGAAAGTCTAACTAACACTAGATGCATTTTTGCAGCACTGTTCTTTAGCTGGACTAAGCTAAGCCTAGCATGACGCACGGCCATTTAAAGTGCAGCACCCCAGGGAGTTGGGAATGGATTCCGTTTTACACAATATACCCAGCGAGACTTGTTGGCCGATTATTGCTCTTCAACCGGCACCTTAACATTGCTCCTAAAATTACAATATATATATATATATAAATAAACAAACGTCTCAACTATC